GGGTTTAATATTTTTCCTAGAACTTTTTTTTTTTTTTTTTTTTTTTTTTTTTTAAAAAAAAAAAAAAAAAAAAAAAAAAAAAAAAAAAAAAAAAAAAATGTGATGAACACTATCCCCCAAACGTCTCCTTACTAATACATAAAAATTCTCAATCAAAAAAAAGAGATCTCATTACAGCAATAAAACTTATTTTGCCTAATAAAACTTGGCTGTCAGAAGGAGCCCACGCGGGCAGCACAGCAGGTACCACAGCACCAAGCTCCAGGAATCTCAAGTGAAACCCCGGGAGAGGGTAAACTGAGTGGAGGAGGTCTGGCACTTCAGCAGACTGCACTAATGGTACTGTTTTATAACGAAGTCCCTAGATTGAAGAAAATGTAAAATCATCCAAGAATAAAATTATCTGTCTGCAGAAAGGATTTCTCCCTGGTTTCCCCTGATCAGTAAATCGGGAAATGCTCACTGAGGGCAGCAACATCCATCCATAAGGAACATCACTCCGAACCTCACGTGAATGTAGGTGAGCTCCTCGTCAGCCACCTTCCCTCTTCCTAAAGGCTGGGAAAAAACTTCCTCGAGAAAGTGAGAGAATCCAGAATGGACACACCAGCCATAAACCACCAGAAATAGACACTGCTCTGGCCTTCCCTGCTTTGTGGTGTTACGAGAAAGACAAGCTAACCCATGGAAATAAAGATAAGCAGCACAAATTCTGAATATTTTTTAACTTTGTTCCAGCTCTTCCACATATAGTCCTCTCCTATGTAATACACCATTTATTTATGGAAAAATTTATTTAATACAAATCTATTTTAGCAAAACAGAAATGGAGATGTAACAACAATAAACAAACAGCAATGTAAACTATCCATAATATCAGCCTGACACAACACACCCCTGCTGAGGCACTAGGGGTGCAAATGAGTCTGGCCAGAATTCCCCAACGCTCCAGGCTCCATTCAGGTGCACAACTGGCCGAAAAAAAACCAGGAAAAGCTGGAAGACACACAGAATAAAAGAGCAAAAAGCTGCCCCATCTCCATACATGTGTGATGCAGATTTGGAAATTAGCAGGGTGAGTAAAACCTACAACATTCCAGCAGACTCAAGATGCACATACTGAGCAGCGGTGAGTACCCTGAAAGTTACAGGTAACCGTGAGATGCTCCTGCAGGCTGTGAGTGTGTTGTACATCGTGCTGACTGACCCAGAAACAAATGTTCTCTGGCTCAGAAGTAGCTGCAATTCCTCCTGGAGCTGAGGGCAGGGCTGTCACACACAGGGGGCTGAAGCCAGGCTGAGACAAGCAGCTTTTTCAGCATTACCAAACACCAGGCAATTCCCTGCACTCAGGCAGTTACTAAGGCCTCCATATTTTCCATGGTTTTTCAGCTGATGTAATAGTCTAAGTGCAGATTTTTCAGTCAAACACAAGACTCCAAGTATGCCAGGATTAAAGGCAATACTGACACTATGGCTAAATGTAAGGCATCATTGGGGAAAGAGGCCATCACCAAAATTTGCAGAAGCACTAAGCACTAAAAATTCCTGAAATTTAAAGTGGAGAAAATATTTCAGTATCCTTAAGTCCAGCATTACATGCCTACATGACTCTTCACGTGCAGAATGAGGCCAAGGGGGCATAGATCCAGAAAAACTCACACATGTATAGATTCACACCTTCACACCACAACTAAACAACAAAGAGCCCTAAAATAAAGCCATACAGTTTCCATTTATTGAAACAATAGAGAATAATCTTTCAAGGAGTCAAATATTCTGAGGGGTGGAAGAACTTAGTCACAAGATAACTTCTGTAGCAGCATTTTGAAGGTTTTTATGGTAGGGATGTGTTAAGAACCAAGGTACTATAGTTCTGGCAAAAGCCAGAATGAAACATACTTGTGAATTTCCAGTAAACTCTTATTTCAACTGCCTTAAGACTCACTGCTTGCCTGGGTTTAAAAAGAAAAGAAAAAAAAGGTGATCAATAACAGCAGGAAACATTTTACAGAAAGAGCAGAGAGTTCACAAGCTTTACATCCACCCCAAACTTCACCAGAACTCAGAATCCGCTGCTAATGAACCAAAGAGAAACTAAACAGTGTTGAGTATCTGAAGGGGGCTCCAGGAAAACTGGGGAAGGACTTTTTACAAGGGCATGTAGTGATAGGACAAGGAGGGGTGGCTTCAAACAGTAGTGATAGGACAAGGAGGGGTGGCTTCAAACTGAGAGAGGGGAGATGGATCTGAGCTGTGGGGAAGAACTTGTTTGGTGTGAGGGTGGTGAGCGCCTGGCCCAGGTTGGCCAGAGAAGCTGTGGCTGCCCCATCCCTGGAGGGGTTCAAGGGCAGGTTGGAGGGGGCGTGGAGCAACCTGGGCTGATGGGAGGGGTCCCTGCCCAGGGCAGGGGGTGGCACTGGGTGGGGTTTAAAGTCCCTTCCAACCCAAACCATTCTATGATACGCTTTAGTGCCTGCAGCAGCCCTATTTTTTCCTATCTCTAGCATTTACCGTTCTCAATGGGAAACGTTTGTAAAATCCCTGGTACCAAGTAGATCTCGCTGTTGCAAAGTGGTTTTAGCTGTCACTCGCACTACATTCTCCTCCTGGCCCCCCTCCAGCCGCAGCGCATTATCTCCTCGGCCCCGCTCCCATAATCCCGTCCATCCCCGCGGGTTTATTCCCAGGCAGTCCCCTCCCTCCCCGCCTTTCAGCCCGAGTGCGGGGCCGGGCTCGCCGCTCCGGAGCCGTTATCCGCCTACAGCTCCTTTACCCAAGCCCCAAATCCCCGCAGCCTCCCTTCCCTTTCCCCGGGCACCGCAGAGGGAGGGGAGGGCGCGGGGCCGGGGTTGCTCTGGGCCCCCTGCACCCCCCACCGCCCCCCCCTCAATCCATGTGCAGCGCCGAGCACCCCGCGGCCGCCGCCCGCCC